CGTTAACCTACCGAGTCTAAACTTGGTACAATAAATACCAATTTGTTAGTTGATCGGAACCAGTGGAATTCCATCTATGACGGGATTAACATTCAGCTTAAGCATGATATCCTGAGAGGCGTATAATATCCCGCAACATGAGTATATGATGGAGAACCTGGAATTTCTCGAGTAACGCTGAACACAGTAAATGAGACAGAGGCAGTTCGCCTTCGCGACTCATTGAGCGCGGTGCGCATACAAGCTGATCTTCCTTGGAAAGACCGTGCAAAAGGAACTGACAACGAACGAAACTCCTAAAACTGGACAGCAAGAAAACCATGCTTGTTTATAGTCTTTCCACATTCTGGGGTGCTGCTGACCGCGAAATAGTTGACGCTAATACCTTAAGCACAAAACTGAAGGGGTTGAGGTCCAAGATGGATCAAAGCGGTTCTACTCTACGAAGGAATTTCAAAAGTATTATTGATTAACTTTATGAATTTCCGTGTCAGATTTGCAAAAAAGTTGCCCGCTTAAGGTAGCAGGCCAACGGTCACGACTGGTCGACAATTGTCTGGAATTGCAGCCCCAGTAAATCCCTTGTGTCAACAGTCCTATGGAGTGACAGACACAACAGCACCCGCGGCACCCGACAGGACATGACGAATCAGAAGAGAGCATCTCAGTCTGGAGCAATCTGTGATGGCATACAGTCTGACTGGATTTCGTAAGCCAAGGACCTACATAGAGATAGTACTGGAAGACTAATTAACGGCCGGTTGGGAACAAAACCCGAAAATGACAGTCAACAACGCAGTGTCAACTTCCAAGGCACTATCCTGCTTGTATACTAGGCCCCAACGCCATTTCGGTAATTGATAGAACTCACAGAGGGCAAGGCCTTACAGCCGCTGGACCACCTTATAATTACAGATACCTAAATGAACAAGTTAAACTGATTTTCCCGTCCGTCTACCCGGAATGACGCTATCTTTAGAACCGTAGATATGCACGGCGTGTTGGAGTAATTCTTTATTACAAAACTAATCTCAATGGTGTACTTTCTGGACGCACAGAAATTCATGCTGATGACTCGCTTTGGTGCTGTCTAATGTTGCTGAACAATGACACATGTCTTGTAGCCGTAATTCACCGTCAGCCATACACAACCTCCGAAATGTGCTCCAAAGTAAATGTCGTTTTGAAGCTTGCGAGGAACGACGCAATCAGTCACATTCTCAGCGCTGGAGAAGTTCATGTGCATGACACGAAAATACCGGCAACTAATGGCGCACAGGATAAAGTGTTCGCAAGCTATAATTTTCAGCTAACTTCTGTACAATCAAGCAACCACTTCCATCAGATTTTGAAATGCTAACATACAATGATATTTTGTATTTTGCTCATCAGTGACGATCCTAAGATCAGCGGAACACATTCAACCATACATTTGGGTGGCGATTACCATAGTATTCCAACATTTGACTAGAAATGCCATACGAGATATCTTGAAGCGGATGCTAAAGTATATACTGTCTCACTATGTACCGTCTTATCAACAGGTGTTAAGGAGACACCTTGGAGCTTCTTAACTGATTACCTATTTGAGTCAATATGAAACCATCACAAGGATGTTTAACACAATGGCAGATACTGCTTTGGAACAGAACTCTATCCTCCACCAAAATAAAAGCGTCATTTCGAAGGAGCAGAACAAGCAAACACATATACATGAGAGATTTGGTAAGGCGAGCGCAAAGTACTCCATGACTGCTGAAACGTGGAAAACGTGTAAACTTGCTCAGCGCGAACATGGTGACGCATAAGCACGAGTTGAGGAAGCTATTATGCATGAATCACCAACTCTTCTACATAAAATTTAATGGTCTTCATATGACATAGTGCGTATTTTCCCTCACTGATAACAACTGATGAGTATCCACGGCCAGCAAGTGAAGCAGCCGATCTCTTACGGTTTCATTTGTCCCGATACCCTATAGGAGGTACAAAGCCAACCTCTTCTCCCCTTTTCTATTGCCTCAACTACAGTTTTATCCAGCATAACCTTCAACGCAGCAGCTGTGTGGAAGAATTTGTTATACTAGTGTACCCATAACACTTCCGGAGTGGACAAACTTCTGCCAAAATGTCTGCTGGCAGCAACCAGTGATCTCGCAGAACCACCAGCCATTTGCTGCCAGTGTTGTCTAGAGGAGAACAAACATCTTTTTATTTGGCAACGAGGGGTCATCATTGATTTGCACAAGGGAGTTGGTCACACTGTCCTTACCAATTTCTATCTGAAAACGCTGATTCCTGTGGGTTCTAAACTTATGGAAGCAATCATCTTGGATACAGGTATGCAGTAGCTGGAAGAGCATAATATAATAGTTGCGGGTCAACATCATTTCCGCTAAAATCGTTCACATACTTCTATTCTCTATAGACTTTCGAAATATTACGCACTCATAACTTTAAATGCATACGCCTCCCATTGCTGTACCTCCATGCATGGATAGCATATGATGTGAAAGAACATGTCTGACATGTCTGACATCTATATTATTCCATCACGGAGTGCGCTGAGCAAGGACACAGGCAAATTCCTCTTCTGAATCCTTTGACGCGTACCAGTCTACCAGTTGGCTACTTCAACTAAATCATACATAAATAAGAAAGGTCCGCTTGTAATGACAATACGGTTTTGATCAAGATAGAATCGGTTTTACTCATGGGTAACTCACTTGCGCACAGTTAGGGGATTTGATGGTGTACATTGAGTAAGCAACCGTCACGCTAGATCCATATGTGGGAATTGCTTATCAGGCTTTGGAGTAACCACCCTTGGTCCGGATAGTGATACGCAATCCTAATTAAGGTCAGAGCTTAAATGGGAATAAACACATACCACTTCGATAAATGAGAGCGCATCCGAAGGGAAACTTTTGTGGAGGTTCCAACTGGACGCTGCATTCCAAGACCCGATTCGTCCTTAGTTAAACACTTCAGGTAAGATGGCTCGACTCAAACTGACCTCCGGTCTTCTGAACAATCGTTAGTGTCCAAAACCGGTAAACAATCTTTAGATCTCATACAGAGGACGTTCAGCTAATTCGACACTTTCGTCGTACAGCAATTGCTTAATGCGAATGAGACCCCATGTGTAGTACGCGATTCAAGCTTGAGAAGCTTGGTTAAAATACCAATAGGCTGCACCGGAGACACCACCGCGCAGGGCAACCAAAATACTAATTGGCTTGTTCCATCTAACCGAAGAACAACAACCGAAATCCATGGGTGTTCAGAGGGAGTTATCTCTGTTTACTAGGTAAGATAATTTTGACTAAACAAATCTTGAAGAATTTTAATCATTTTGCCACAAAACAAAACTGAGAGGCCACCGTACAAAACTGATTACCCAATACAATCTCTTGGAATGCCGCTGGAATTTCTTTTTTCATGATGTGTTAGTTACGGAACGCGCATGCGACTATTATGGTTTCTGCGTAAGTGTTACCCATTTCCATAAACCACCTAATGATGCCTTACATTTTCCTCACATGACATGGCTCCTGATCAGCTGGTGATGAAAAGACACAGGCAAACAATGTGCTCACCAGCACTGAAGAAGTCAGAGTAGACGGAATTACATGTGCCTTATGGTGTATATCATCCTGGGTCCACAAATGCATGTTTCAGTTTGCTGTCACAAGTTTGAACATGGGTAATTCACGCAGATCTTCCTACATGAATTGTCTTGCTTCTGATTTTTCACCCCTATTATGTCGTTGTTCAATTCTTCCGAGTCTCAGCAAGGAATGTTTAACCGCTGTGTCAAGGTCTGCTCGCGAAGTGTAATGATTTGGTGATCAAGGAGCAGGAGATTAACCACTCCGTACCGGGTTCAACTCAAGTGTGGCTACATCTACTTGAAGTTTCAAGTAGAGCTTGGAATGCACACTTTGCAGAGAGTATAATCGCAATTCTGAAACACCTGAGTGTGTCTTAGAAAGGACTTTGTAATTATTGTTGATAGCAGGGGTTGTGACACTAATTTGCCTCTAATAATGCAGCGCGCTTCATACAGGGAGATCATCACAGACGTGCAACTTCGCAACAACAGCAAATAACGATAAAATGCATGATGGTAGCTTAATCCTTCGCTGCAATTGTAATGACGAGAATATCATTAAGGTGTCTCCATTCAAATATTCGTATTTAAACACTACGCAACATGACATTTTGTGAGAGGGTGGCTACAAATATAAGGGCTAAACTAGTTTATGTCCTGAAATGAAGTCTACAAAAATTCATGCAATAAAATAGTTGATGTACTGTTTCCACTTCAAAACGTAACTGATTGACATGGTTTCGGCATTGCTGTTAAAATTAACCATCACATACACATCGACTTGCTCACCCTTTTGCGTTTCCTTTCTAAGGTAGACATACAAACAATCCAGGCAGCAACGACAACAGCTTTAGTGAATTAACAATGTATTCACAGGAGGACACCGGTACACCAGTGTCAAAGTAACGGTAGACTAAACCAACCGGCTAACTGCAAGATCTTACTACTTAAATGTGATAAGTAGGAGACGGTTGAAAGACATTTGCTTTCAGTCCAGACGGTCACCACTAATCATAAGTGACAGTGAGTTTCTGGTCGAACGTTCGTAGTGGCCACCCACTACCTGGTGGAGAGGCGTGTATTGGCCGGAAGCGTTAGTGCAAATAAGGCACAAAACAGACCGGTAGAGGCTTAATCAACGAACATAACTGAGGTGGCCAGTTCCTGTGTTGCATTCATTCACCGCTGTCCTCAATGTATCAGACAGTCATTTCATGCTCCCAAAAGGTGCTTCACAGATAACGGTTTATGTCCGTGTACCTTAGGAGATTATGACATGACCTTAATTAGCTTGCCCAAGGAATTTACTTCCAGGGTAGCAGAAAATTACTGTGTCTTTGTGGATTATCTAACGTAATACGCTACTATGAACAAAAGTGAAATATACCTTCGGTTTAAAGCTCTTCGCCTTCAAGCTGCATGAATCATCCTTTCTTCCTAGATTAGGGAAGCCTGAGTAGTCCGATTTTGAAAGACTTCGCAGGTAATGATAGTTTGGATCGGCTATCCACAAAGGTTGACTGATCAAATGTTTTGGACTCCTTCCGACATTACCTGTCATAGACTGAAAAGCGAATGAAGGGAAAGCTATTCATGGATTAACAGAAGACATATCCATACGACTAGATGGTGTCACCTTATTTTTGATGAAGCACTTGCAAACCAGTGATCCATCGCTTTCGACTCAGTATAGCTGTGTTTTGAGTTCCTCTGTACTACCAGATGCCATCAGATTGCAGTTAAAGTCCTCGAACAAACGGAGTTGGCACTTTGCCCTTTCAAAGCTCGCTGACACCGCGTGTTCATTCAAAATCTAGATAAACTTGTAGGTAACCGTCAATTGTTGTTAGATAGAGTCCTGTTGTGAAGAGCTCAATTTTGCCATCCACATTTTTAGTATTTCGAAACTTCCCTACTTAGATGCGCACTTTGGTTTTTCTCTAATTGAAAACCTTAGAGGCCATCAAACAGGTCACGGAAAGCAGACATTTGAGGACTTTAACTTATGTATCTAGAAAAAGAAAGCTAATGCCTGCTTATACAAATGAGACCCTCAAGTAATCCTGGCTAAAACTTCGTCTCATTTGTTAGTAATTTTTTTATAGAGTGTGGTAACTTCAAATTCACCTATTTACTATTTATTCTAATGATGTAAGCCTCTGATAACCCATTATTTCCTCTTCAGAATCATGGGTGTTGCAAGCCACTTAATAGAAGCTGATTTCCAACGAAAGAGATGGATGTAACAAAGGGACTGGGAACAAGTTAATATGTGGACCACACCGGTCAGCCGTGGCAGGTAGTGACATTCCCACCGCATCGAAGTGTATGGGCTACTAACCGCTGCTCTCTGGCAGAGTTATGGTAACTAGTCATCAGAAATACTTAAACTGACAATGCACTATTGCCACAACAACTCGAGCAAACCAAGTTGGTTCGCAGGTGACCATGTTTGCTGTAGAGATTAATAATTTGTGAGGCCAGTCCATGTCACCTAATTTCTGTATACAGAAGAAACCGTGCAGCAAAAATATGGACTCTTAAGGAACTCTTATTTAACTGTATCTTGGATAAGGATTAAAATTTCCTAGTCATATCCACACACCGCAAAAACTTACTTATAGTTGTTTTACAAAAACCAGCAGAGGAAAATGACAAGTTATAATTTTGCCAATATCTCTAGGACTAGAGAATACTAATCCAAGACGGTGCGCGAAACTAAACGCGGATATCAGAAGGCAACTGGAGTGGGAGAAAGCGGACTGTATTCGATGGACTACAAGAAGATGCGGACGGATGAAGCGAGACAAGAGCAACACGTTGGCGCGGGAACTAACAAGACGGTCAAGTGTCCAGGCCGATGTAGGTCAACATGGACGTAATGTAAGGGAGATTAAAACAAGAAAGAATAGTGTACAACTGCTCATTAGCGAAATTGTAGACAAAAGATAATAGTTATCTTTTGAGGCGCTACGTATCACACCTTCCACTTTATTGCTGGAAAAGCTGCGTAGATCAGGGCCTTTAAACTACTGAACGCACTGCGGTCCCTCTCTTGCAGAACGTCGTTGAAAAAATGCAAGTAATCGAATTACGTGGTCATAGTTTAACCAAATACCGAAATCCTTTGGCTGCATCTCAACTTTGCTTTAAGATCACATATGTGCTTAGTAAAAGGAACAGACTGCCCATACGGACGATCACCTTTCGGGGCGAATGCATTTAGCAGATGTGCGTCAAAAGATGTGTGAGGAAAACAAGTTTGAGTGCATGCCAATAGCTAAGAAGCCAACAGTTGGCCTAGTTATGACTTAGGCACTAAACACTAGGCAACTTATGTCTTCGGCAAAAACATACATTTGGTTACATTGCTCCTTATCCATTGTGTAGCCAAGGTTTACAAGCCATGAGAGAGCATTTATAACAAGTAAGAATGACGGATTTTCCAGCGCCTTTGAGGAATTCGCAAAACTTTTTCTACTTACGTGTTAGCTAGAAAATTAAGCTATAGTCCAGATGCGGTTAGGTGTCCAAGTCCCGAATGTAATATTTTCCGTTGACATGTGAATGGCTCGTCAACAAAAGTTTATCTATTATTGTAGTTTATACAACCTTCACGGCTGACGTCAGCGACTGCGAACTGCACAATTTTAACCCGCGAGCTGCACACACGTTTGTTGCATATATTGATCAATCACACATCGACTCATATAGCGAACTACGTTGTAGGCATTGTTGTCGTACCAAAACAGTTGACCGGATTCGGTCTTATTGTGACCCGCTCATACGTCTTAGGACAGTAATTATTCTTTTCACGGATGAACTATCTTTGTTGTTTCGTTTCGTAACGACGCCTTGCAGTTAACGATTGAGAATACCACTGAGAATAGGGGACCCTCTGTGTTCGGCGTCTCTTAGTTGGTGCAGCAAGAGCGAGTGAACCGCTCAGCACCACTGAACAATCAACAATGAATTTATACGGGTTAAGCAGCGTTGCTTTACAAGTCCCGTTGGATAGTTGGTGGGGATATCAATATAGCAATAATGAGAATAAGGATAGTAAAATAGTTAATACTTTAAATATGAAAATAAGGACTTATCGTTTGCTTCGCTGTAGTCCTGCGATCTGCTTAGATTCACAGTACCCATAGTTAACAACAAATAATTCCATGGTATACTCTAAGTGTAGGATGGAGACGTAGTGTTAAGTGACAAAGTGTAAGTGGATGAGTGCATCATCCAACCGTCTTTTAAATACTGTTAGTGTCGGTGCAGAGACGACCGACTCTGGGAGAGCATTCCACGGGTGACAGACACGAATGGAAAAGAAATTTCTGCGGCATTCCAGACGACTGTATTGTTCTGCGAGTTTTAATGAGTGACCCCTCAGGTTTGTATTGCTGCTGAGTTGTAATAAAGGGCGGCACACATGATGTGGATCTCGCCGAATCAAGTTTGTCATGATTAGGTCGCCTCGTAGTCTGCGATAGCTTCCAATGAACAGTCACATTATATCACGCACCAGCCTCCAATGGCTTCGCCAGGTGTTGCGCATGCCAGCACACCGACTCCCGCGAGGTGCATTGTTTGCGTGCCGGGGGTGCGGTTGGAGGAGGAGGAGGGGAGGTCAAGTGATGAATTGATCGAGAGAAATGAAAACTATCACTTCGAAACTGCCGTCAGTTGGTGCATCCAGACTGATTGGCTTGGGTCCTAAGGAAGATTAACTCGTTTGTTTGAACACAGTTGCTGATAGTGTTGTGAGTTTCTTTGTCCATCTCCTTCCCTTATTGATTGCCCTTCAATCCCATTTCATACAAAACGCGGTATAAACTAGGTAAAATCACATTACTCGCTTGGAATTATTTTGTGTTGTAATGTTTTAGTCCTTTAACTTTTTGTACTACAGCACATTAACTGAGGAGTTTTTCTCACCCTCAGCTAGTGTCATTATGTTGACGATGAGGGTCTTCTACTGGCTTTTGCTAATCCGACTACATTCGGAATATTATAGTCGCAGTCAACACGGAAAAAACAAGAGATCGCTGATCCACTTGTAAATACAAGTGTGTGCTATGAAGGAACCATGCCACGATGCAACTGGGCAGTAAGTAATAGTGGGGAAGAAGAATGCGCTTGACACTAAATCAGACCTGGGATACTTGTTCCTTTTACCTTTGTGCAAACAAGCACTTTGGTTATACATACTGCTGCACCCTGCGGTCGTTTATATTGATTACTCGAAGTAGCTGCATGATCGCACTAATCTTTAGAAATAACCACATGACAGATGACGAAACTGTTTTAGTGTTAAGTAAACGTGCGTTTTTCTTAGTGCACGCACCTAAGAAGACGATTTTCACAGGCTTACATGAACACATCATAGCTACATTCCATACATTGAATGAGGCGAATCAAGTCCTTAACTACCACGAAAACGCTTATGGTTACTGATGTGCAAATTAGATTAAGTTAAAATATTGGGAAGACAGGTCTGTTCTTGACGACTGCGGATCTTAGGGCCAGGATCCATAAGGATGCATGGTTATTCATCCTCACTTATTTGGTCGTTGTAGCATTCAAATCGTTATTCAAAAATCGGCTCATCTTGCAATTTCGAGGTTATATTGTACATGCAGTTATCAGTTGTATCGAGAGCTTTATAGGCGCAATTCTCCGGAGTACTACGGCATTCAGCAGGGCTTGTGTGTCTCACCTTCCCTCACATATGTGGCTAGTTTGCACGATGCCACTTTTATCACACAAGGGAGCTTACGAATAATTGTATAAGCAAGGTAGTAGGGGTTTGTGGAAAAAATAGAAGCTATGTGTCCACCCATCACTGAGCCTGGGGTTTAACAGGCACATTGTGGCGAATAAAATCAGGTAAATGAGAATTTCTTGGAGATGCCAATGTAGGGTGAAGTAATGATCAAAAGTCATGCATGTCCGGCTATAGGAGATGAGGTGGGCTACTGTAACACATGGTTAAATTTCAGGCTAGATTAAACGAATATGGAGTGGTGAAGCGTATGATGACAATAATGCCCGAAAATGACCTGACTTCTCATTCTACTAGTCTGTAATTGTTACCTTTAGGGGACAGCGAGCGTTCAAGAATGCTAAAAGTTAAGATATGATGCGGACCAATATGAGGCGAAGTTGAGTGAGAAAACCCTAGGTCTCTTTTGTGGTTCCATTGGAAGAACATTTAACCAAATAGCTGGCAATTTTTTATCGTGGCGTATCAAGGTGAATTTTTGAAAACCAAGACGAGGCAGGATGAATGAATAGGCAACAATGGAAAGCAAATGAGCGGTAAGTAGCGCATAATGATCAACAGTGCCGGTGGAAGCATATGGACTGGAGCTTGTTAAGTTTAGAAAACGCGGCAGCCCAAGTGAGTAACTTAAATGCTGAACACAGAAAAAAATAACAAAATATTGTTAAGCAAGGACACAAGATAAATGTACGGGGTAAGAACTAAACCGAGCACAATTCACCTGGGATGTGCTAGATGTTTCGCAAGACATTTAAAATTGTATGGGGCCTTTTCCATAACTATCGTGTATTAGCGCAGATTCATCATGTATACGTAGTACCTACTCTACGGTGAGGTGGTTGAACAATTCAACCCTAAATACGTGCTTGATATTGTTACATCTAGTGTGTTCGAGCAGCTTAATCTATAACCTATTATATCTTATGCGAAAGAATTTGGAACGTAGATTCTTGCGTACTCCAGGGACGCAGAAGATAGAGGATGAATTTCTAATTTGGTATTGATGTAAAGTTCCAAAATTTACAGTAGCTGGTTATCCAGGATTGCTTTGAGTTACAGCAAACAGGAAGATTATTTTGATCATAATTCTTCTTAAACCTAGTTGTTTTACATTCAGAAGTTGAGTGTGCTGTTGGGAAGTGAAGTATCCTAATCTTAGTAATAGTTTGGTACGGAACCTTTGTACATTGTCAATATGGATTTTGTCTCAAATTTTTAAATTTGCGAATATTAATGGACAATGCACTAAAATGTAACAAGCGTATGCATTATACATACCTAGCCTAGGTTCATTTAAGCATAGTGCATTTACATTACATGCCATGGTGAATCTTGCTTTAGCAGTGACAAAGTGTAGCTTTTCAAATAAACTGCAAGAGCTTGAGTAGCGAACTCCGGGGTCACGAATCGTTGTGCAGTAGGCAACTGACCTGCTATGTAACATCAGTATATCATTTATAATGTTACACCAGAAGAATAGAACTTTATATCTGCCAAAAGAAAATGTCATTATCCACTCTCAAAACCATTGCTGAAGAGCGTAAATCTCCATTATGTCGTATAGATGAAGTTGGATTATTTTACTATCAAAAGCGTACACTACTTTGATCTCTTGCGAGATGAGAAAGGGTCTACCATGTTGAAAGTTCCGGAAAATGTCATTTGTACAAAGTAGAAATAACACAGAGCTTGAAAACACCACCCTATATGACGCCGCTTTTTAATGAGATAGGCGCAGATACGAAGTATCCAACTTTGACATACTGGGTGGATATGGAAAAGCTTGAAAATAAGCATGCTATTAATGGGTTGGCAAAACCAAATAGGCTGACATTTTTTACTATTACTGCATGGAATTTAGGGTCCAATACTTTTTCAGGCCTAAGATAAAAGTAACCATGGACTGTTCGGATTCAGCCTACTTGGTTATGAAGTCAAGAAATGCAAATAGTTACGTTTGACCTGAACGACAACCGATGAATCCGTGATCCCAGCTAACGATCAGTGTTTGTGTAATTAGGAACTGCAATTTTTCTTTGATCACGACTTTCACAATTTGATTCAGTATGGAATTGTAGTTAGTGAGGCGTTTTAATTTGCTAGCTCGCGACTTTATCCCCCCTTGTTTTAGAGTATGACACTGAGACGCTTCCATGTAGCAGGCTATACGCCAGTCTTAGTTGACGAGGTGAATATGTTTCGCAGAAATAGTGGAATATCAGTAACAAGTAGCGCAATGTTTTTTTCGTAAATCAAACTAATACAACTAGCAAATAATCACTGCCCAAATTCCTGACGACATGTTAAACTGCAAAACAATGAGCACATAAAACAACCCTTTGAGTACAACCAAATTCCCATGTGCCTTCAAGAGATCAGTTACCAGAGCCGTTGGAATTCAATTAGATCATATCAGCCTGATTTTTCACGTATGCATAACTAAGAGGGTGATTGTAGTTCTTCTACTCTTACGTCATATTCCGACTCTGTCAGATTTAGTGGCTTTCGCTCCGTAAATTTTGACACATTGCGTATCTTTTGCTTCAAATGATGGAAAGAAACGCTATGGTGATTTAACTATCTACAGGCATTGCTGCTATCATTAGGCTTGATATCCAATCCAAATTTTGTGCACTAATTAAATTGATTTATCTTGGGATATTTTTAAAGTTTAGTTGTCTTTGCACCTGAATATTTAGAAGAAGCGACT